AAAAAAAATTAATTTAATTCATCTTGTATAGGGTGTAGGAAGTGGAAAAACGCAATCCTGATGTATAAGAATACAACTGCGTAAAACACAGGCGTATCAAAATGCAACTGCGTGAAACACACAGGTGTATAAAAATACAACTGCGTGAAACACGCATGTGTATAAAAATACAACTGCGTGAAACACACAGGTGTATAAAAATACAACTGCGTGAAACACACATGAGTATAAAACTTCAACTGCGTGAAACACACAGGTGTATAAAAGTACAACTGCGTGAAACATACAGTAGTATAAAACTTCAACTGCGTGAAACACACAGTAGTATGAAACTTCAACTGCGTGAAATACACAGCAGTATGAAAATTCGGCTGCGTGAAACACACAAACTTCACGCATGCGTGGAGTGTATGGAGTGTACGGGAGTGATTCACGCAATGGTGCGAATAGTCACGGCCTTAAAAAACTGGCTAGCGTGCTGGCTTGTCATCTGGGCGACGGGGGTTTGATTCCCCGCGTACTCACGATTTTTCAAGATTGATGACTGTAAGCGCAGTGGCGAAATTGGTTAACGCACAAAGTTGGTTGATTAACCATGATCTCAAGAAGGGGATTGATCTTCAAATCTTGAAATATTCAGATATTTCTGATGTCCGCAGAGGGTTATAGAGAAAATAAAAAAAATTCAAAAAGTCAATAATTTGGAGTTCTCGGTTCAAATCCGAGCTGATCGTCAAAAAAAGTTCTGGGAGTAACTAGACGTTATTTGACCCATGCTTGTCCCAATCAACGTCTAATTACTCCCAGAACTTTTTTTGACGATTGTAAATTTTTTTCATTTCATAACCGAAAAAAACCCCAGAGAAATGGTTTACTTGAATTCAATTAACTTTATTTGACTTATAACTGTGTTCCTTGAAACAGCTCGTAATAGAGCTTGCATTAAAATTAAATGAATAGTTTGAATATAAACGAATTTCTCATTGATCCAAATAAAGACTTCATTAGTTTGAAATGAGATTATTGTTTAGACGATGAAAGAAACGAATTTATTAACATTAGCAGTAATAATTTATTCGGATCAAATAAAGTTTTGTTTTATTTAATTGCCTAATTTCTTTGGATGAAGTGAAAATTCTTTATACTTCCGGAAATTAAAGTACTTGGATGCACTTGAAAATTCAGGAGGAATGAGGAAAATCACAGCCTTCCATTTTCTTTATCAACTTCTCAAGATAAATGTCTCTTCACAGAGTCTTTTTTGCTCTTCAGAAGAAGTATTCAGATTTTTTCACCTCAAGGCGATAGAAGTTTGCTAGAAGTACTAGGACAATTGATTTCAATAGAACAGCAGAAAGAAAACTTTTTTGTTTTCACTGGGGATAAATCCACAGCCATATATCTATACTACAATATGCGGTGTAGACGTAACTGCAAGCTGACGCTCTGGATCAATGCTCCAGGCGTCGGCGCTCCACCAACACCATCCTCCATTCTCCAGAACTTCGGTCCTCAATGTTACCGAGACTGAGATTAAAAAGAAAACAAGTCGGGGAAGGGAAAAAAATGAAATTTTGTATTTCGTGAGATAGTTACAACTCTTTGGAATTTCCGAGACATCAATCATGACGAATAAAATAGTATTGGAGAATTTTGAATAAGAAGAACTATGTTCGAAATAATTTCTATTTCCAACTTATAAAATGTAGCAAATGGAATATTCAAATTGTTCTAGGCACAAAAACACTATCTGGAATAGTCGATGAGCATTTTTTATGTGACAGACGAAAGCAAGCAGCGCGACAGAAGCCATTCGACAGATTACATATGACGCTATTCTTCGCGTATTTTTTTTCTCCTATTTTCATTTCTACCAATTTCATTGGTAGTCGGCTTCCGAGTGAATGTCAATGTATGTTTTCAAAAAATGAAGGCACAAGGATTTCCATTTTTTGAAAATATTAAGGCCAATCCCATGCATACTTCATGAAAAAAAATGAATTTTTTTTCCCAAGAATTTTGGGTGAATTGCTCCATCTCAAGATCTATCAAATATATCGACCTAAAATTTGATATAGGAATGTTCCTTGACAATCCTAACTAGAAGCCAAAGTTTCAAAAAGTTTCCCTGACTTTTGCCCATGTCATAGCGCGTAAAAGTGAATTCTCCGACCAAAAAAATACAAAAACGACGATATCTCGAAAAATTTCAATGGGATGATACCCATATTTTGTTGGATATAGATAGATGACATAAAAACGCACATTTTGAAAAAAAAATTGAAATCGGACCAATAGTTTTTGAGATATTGAGCAAAAGAGTTTCTCATACAAAGTTGAGTATCTCCGAAACTACTGGTCCTATTTCGTTCATCTAGAATCCCAAACTTGATTACCACAAGACCTAAAATCATACCAAGCTTCAAGTTTCTATCTCGATTATTATTTAAGTTATCGTGAGAATAAGCAATTTCAGCGAAAAAATGAAAATAATTTTCATTTCAAATTTTCACTTCATGACATTTCTAGGCATTTCTACCCAAAATTAAGAAATCGAAAAAAATCACGATTACAAAGCTTCCATTCGCAAACAAAAATTGAATAAGAAAATAAATGTTAGAAATCAGGTTATCATTCAATTTTCATAAAATAAAATGATTAAAAATGCAATCAAAACACATGAAATAATTATTACCTGCAATAGTCTGGGACCTTTTTCATTTATATATTTTTTATACGTTATGTCAGCGGATAAAAAATCATTTTACTTGGGGATTAAGGAAAAACACGATATAGATAAATTTATGCACCCCCATTGCAACGCGTCGGGGGCAAATATGACGTTTGATTTGATATGGAGTCACTTGACTAATACGATTTTAATTAATTCTGTTACAAATAACAAGAGATCTGTCACACTTTGGGCGAGAGCCCCTTGCGCCCCTGCCCCTGCCCCACTGGCAATATGTCTCATATCATCCCTCTTATTATTTCGATTAGTGAATCCCCTTCGAATATGACACTTGTAAGTCCATTCGTGGATGAAAGTTTATTCATCAGGCGAGAAGATTCAAATTTTATTTTGTTTGGGTTTTGTAATAAAGTTTTTTCATTATTTTGTTTATTTTGTTAAAATAATTTGAGAATATATGTATGAACGTTATGTATAAAGAAATAAATAATTAACAAATTATGTATGAAAGAAAATAAATTATTACTATTGTTGAATTGTTTTTGTGGATTATTCACATCAAACGAAAATATAAAATGAACAGAGTAAAAATTTGCCCAGAGAAGTGGTCTATTTGAAATAAATAAGATATTTGGAATCGAATGAGTGGTTTTTTCAATATTCACAAGATGTTTTCTTAATTCCAATGAAGAGGTTATCAATTACAAATTAAATCACGTGATAATTCTTTTTTTTAATCAAATAAATTCAGTAACGAAATGGTAAAACGGTACAAGTCAATTTCGACTATTGACCAGTTTACAATGAATATCTCGAAATCTAAGGGAGATGGCAAAATTTTTGTTATAACCTTTTTTGCAGAGCCGGTTCAGAGCTACAACAAATGTAATTACGAAAATTTTGCTATCTCCCTTAGATTCCGAAATATTCCTCAAAAACTGGACTGGGAGATAAATCGACTTAAACCCGTTTACCACTTCGCTACTGAATTGTTCATTCGATTATTATAGAAAAATTATTTGACATTAATGAATTATCTATCTCGTATAATTAAATCATCTCCATTAAAAAGAATGAATATTTCAAATAAAATCTGTTATTTGATTGGGAATCTCTCATCTTGAAATATTAGCTGCGTTGTTGGAAAAAAATAGAATTTCAAGAGCAGTTGAGTAGTAATTTTCAGGACAGTGACCTTCGATTCGACTTAGGGGGGGGGAGATTATAAAATTTGTCATTTCACTGGAAATTAAATGAAATTCCTTGCAATTCCAAGAATATATTTACTTGAATTAAATAATTGAACTATAATTCACAGTTTCCATTGATTTTTTCATTAAATTTCGAAATTTCTTGGATCCAGTATAACTTCAGCCCAAAAATTTTGACAATGGAATAACAATCTAAAAACAGTAATTCGGAATAAACTGAAATGCATAAATTTGACACTAAAAATGATCAAAACCACTGAAACCATTGAAAACACAAAATTCGTTTTGGGAGTAAAAAATAATGAAATCGGAAACTCCAGTGGAAATTCAATAATATATTTACCTGAATTTTCCCGATTTCTATTAATTTTCATGAAATAATTCAGTAGCGAAGTGGCAAAACGGTTCAAGTCAATTTTGACTATTGGCCAGATTTCAATGAATATCTCGGGATCTAAGGGAGATGGCAAAATTTTTGTTCTCAGCTTTTTTGTAGAGCCGATTGACACCTACAACAAATATAGTTGCGAAAATTTCGCTATCTCCCTTAGATTCGGAAATATTCCTCAAAAACTCAACTGTGAGATAAGTCGATTTAAATCGTTTTACCATTTCGCTATTGAATTGAACTAAAATTCCAAGTTTCTGCTATTTTCATGAAATTTTGAATTTTTTATAAAAAAAAATCTTGACACAGCAATGAATATCACACCCCCTAATAAAAATAAACTGAAGTAAAATAATCTTGACGTCAAAAATGATCGAAAACATTGAAAATATCGTTTCGACTCCGCTTGGTCGAGCAAGTGCTTTATTGATGATAATCTCAGCTGGAAGTGGTCCGGAGTACCACCCCAGCGGATGCTGGAACGAATGGGAGATGATGCGGGGTGAGATCTCGACTCAGATCGACGAATCCCGAGTCGACAGTCATAAATGCCTGGAGCCCCTGTGGGCGGAGTTAACACTTGAATCCCGGTATCATTCAGAAAATCCACGGGCCATCGAGATTAATCCCGGGGTGTCGTCACTCCACTGTTAAACGTCATCGGAGAAACATCAAAAGTCGCGCGAAATAAACGAAATAATATAAACAATTTGATGAATCGACCAGTGATTCGCATTCTCCCGGGGATAAACAGCATCAAAATTGTGTGTGTTCCTGATTTTTCGTTTAATTTTCGGCTTCTGATGGCGTTAATTCTCTAGGCGAAGGGGTTGATGCAATTGTGGAGTAAATTTTTTTATTTTCGTTGGACAGTCTGTGGACATTCTGGTGGATATGAGCTACAGCGAACCACTGTGGGAAATTAACGGAAATCAGGGCCCAGTAAGAAATCAATTTTTTAAAATTTCAAATAAGAATTTTGAAATTCATACATCGAAATCAGTAGCGAAGCGGTAAAGCGGTTCAATTTGATTTTGGGCATTGGCCGGTTGTCAATGAATATTTCGAAATCTAAGGGAGACAGCAATTTTTTTGTCACGACCTTTTTTGTAGCCCTTAATTCCGTCTACCAAAAGTTGATTTAATCCTTTTACCGTATTTGTAATATTTGATTAATTGAAAATAGAAATTATTTCTCCCTTTTAAAATATATAATTTTGTTCTTTATTCTCATTATTTCATAAAAAACTAAGAGGCAAGACGATTGTAAATGGTCTAGGCCCGATTGCACCAGCTTCGGGTAACGAAAACGTCAAATAAGAAAAGAAAGAGTAAATTTGGATGTTCGATGGATTACTTTACCCGGGAGAGTATCTCAAAATTATCCCAGGAACGAAAAATAAAATTTAATTCCAAGGTTAAATCAGTGTTAATTCAAATGGGGCTAAAGGATAAATAAAAAATTATTCTTCGGAATAATAATGAATAGTATATTCCTATGAAGTGTTTGTAAAGCTAAAATGGAATATGGAATAATATTTCCTGATTTTATTTTCAATATTTTGCATATGAAATAAAAAGAAATTCAAATAATATTTCACCCAAGGTCTGGAAAATTCCGTTGAAATTTTGGAAAAAAAAAAAAAAAAAAAAACTACGGAATCTCAAAATAGTTGGACAGAAAAATCCATTGAAAACGTTCACAAGTCACATGACAAAAGTCATGACAAAAGGGATTTTTCAGTACGTTGGTGGTGAAATGCCTGGGTACCCAATGTGGGACAGTTCGGTGCTCTACCAGCCGCCACCGCCGACGCATCCTCACGTCAACGATCACGGCAATGGGATATACCGCCAGCCCTGTGCTCTCCTCCACCAAAGGTTTCCTTCAATTTTCAAAAATTAAGGATTTTTATATTTCTACAGTGAGACAGCATTTACTTGAATGGAATTTTCAATAATTTTTGACAGTCGATACACGTCGAACGGACGGATTCCCAACCAGCCTACTTCCACAACGAAAAAACCACGACGAAGAGTGGCTTCAGTATCACAAAGACGAGCTGCGAATATTCGGGAGAGGCGAAGGATGTTCAATCTGAATGAAGCATTTGATAAACTTCGTAAGAAGGTAAATGAGGGAAAGGAGTATTTTGTTACCAAATAAATGTGCCACTCTATCCCACTCGAGATATCTTGATGACTATTGCGGATTTATCGAGACATGTCGCCAGATAAATTAAGGGATGTTTATGGCGAAAAATATGGTTTTGGCATCCAAATAGTAGCTTTGGACACTGACAGAAAAGATTAGTTATTGTTAACGAACAGATTTGGCTGGAGACGAGGGTCTATTCGATCTCACCAAATGTACATTCGTTAATAGTTAACAAAATGCATTTGAGGAGCCTTGTGTGACTTGACTTTCACTTTTCAAACGAACCATTCGTTGGCTATTGCCGAATATTAATTTGGTCATAGTCAACTCTCCCATTCATCATAGTCAACTCTACCAAAAAATCATTCTTAAATTTTATACAATTAATGTTCTAGGTGCCAACCTTCGCCTACGAGAAGAGACTCTCGCGGATTGAAACCCTCCGTCTCGCCATCACTTATATTGCATTCATGGGGGAATTACTGGGAATCGAACCGTCAAGCCCCAAAGCCGACTACATTCCACGGGAATACTACCTGCCGAACTGAAATCCACGATTTTTCTAAACTCTTTCGTTACGAAACCATGAAACCAAAGAAAATCACGATCATCAACTCGTCTGTCAGTTCTGATCCAGTGATTAGATGAAATTGTTTGTATTCGTTTAGGATGTTTTAATGTATAAATCAAATGTCTTCCATAAGTATAATTTATGAGTAATAAAACAATTAACGGTATTTCAATACATGATTTAATTTCTATTTACGGAACCTCCAACATTTCTCATGAAATCAAACTTGATTGTTTGCAGCAAACTTGATTTTTTTTATAACAACAAAGCGAAGGAAAAATCTCTGGACATCAAATTAAAAACAATAAATAATTCCAAATTAAATAAAACTTCATATTCCAACACTTGACTATTTTCTATTTATGAAATTTAAAAGTGGAAAACCCAATGTGAATTTTACTTTTCAATGAAAAAAAAAAATAAAAATAAAAATTGAAAAAGTAAAGAAAAATTTTATTTTTCAAGAAAAATAAGAATCTTAACTCTTGAACTTTCATTGGATTGTATAATATAAATCCTTGGTCCTGATATCTGTATTTTGAAAGTCGTCTAATGACAGACAAGAAATTCTACTTTTTTCATTACAGCTTCCGGTGGTAAATAAATCTGTAATTTTTTACTCCTCATATGAATATGAAACTTATTCAGGACATAGATAATCCCTCCAATGACAAATGTACAAAATTTCAAAGATCTCAGTCAATTATTTGACTGCCAAATGACCCTTCGAAAATTCGTCGGTAAACTGAGGGTTTTCTAATGGATACCCGTATCCATTAGAAAATTTTGGGAGTTCTGTTTGATTCACCCTAGTCGATCTATTTTAAAGTTGCAGCAGGCAACTTACCGACATCCGGATAGTTGCCTGCTGCAGTCCTATCATCCGTCCACAAGTCAGAATCCTCAAGGATCATGACCCCATGAGACATGTACCCCATTTTATCGATGACCAACATATGCCAGAGGATAAATTCCATCATCACTTGGAAATATAGAAAAACAATGAAAAAAAATTGCAGGCGGCTGTATCTTGGATCCGTCCATGGTCTTTCCTTCTTTCTCGAATTTCCTAGAAACTCTTTGTATTCCCTCGAATTTTCTAGAAACTCCTTGAATTCTCTCGAATTTTCTAGAAACTACTTGAATTCTCTCGAATTCTATAGAAACTCCCTGAATTTCCTCGAAATTTCTAGAAACTCCTTGAATTCTCTCGAATTTTCTAGAAACTACTTGAATTCTCTCGAATTCTATAGAAACTCCCTGAATTTCCTCGAAATTTCTAGAAACTCCTTGAATTTTTTTAAAATTTCAAGAAACTTCTCGAATTACCTCGAAATGTCCAGAATTTTCTGGACTCCCGATAGATGGCGCTGCACATAAGGGCCGTTTCCCCAAAATGACCCCCCATATTGAGACCATAGACGTATCCACGTCAAAATCCTGTGAGGCTTTTACGTTGCTTAGCCGCAATGTTATTATTAACCCTCCTGAACTGGCATTCGGTCCACTGGCTCGTATCGGTGAGCAACGCGCCGTCCGTGTACGGTTAGCGCGGTGTTGCCACAGTGGAGCCCTATACGTGAATAAAAATCTACACTGCACACATCTTTCTCGAATTAATAGTATATTGTGCCCCTAGGAAGTAAACGTATTTTCTGACGAATGGGACGTTATAACCCGAGCCGAAGGCGAGGGTTATAATNATCGCGGTTTACCGGGTCTTCTCACGAAATATACTATTACTGCCGTGTGGCACACGATATTTTATGCCTCGAGGACTGAAAACCGTGATTTAACCGAGCGAAGCGAGGTTAGCATAGGTTTTCCGTCCCTAGAGGCATAAACACCATTTATGCTCTAAAAAAAAAAAATTCGCGTTTTTTATGAGACGCCGAACACGGCACGTGATAGAGATGTTGACGTTCCTAGTATGTCTGAACTGAAACAACCAACGTGGCGACAGCGCGGCTAAAAACCGACTACACGAGTCCACTGGCTCCGGGCGGCGAGGCGCCGCTTTTCCGTACCAGTCTCACTAAATTATTATTTTTCATAGTATTCATGGGGTTTTCAAGGGATAGGAATCTTACCAGTCCATTCTAGAGGGTTTGAACTAGGCATTGTAATTTTTACAAATTTTTTCATGCATAATTTTGCATGCAACAAGAAAAAATCGAGAAAAGGCGGCGCTTTGCTCATTGAGCCAGTTCAGGGGAGTTAATATTATTTTGATCATCATTTTCCTAGTTTATTCTTATGTTTCTACCTACAGCCTTGATGGATTGTATTTTTGTAAAAAGAGTGCGAGTCCTAGAAGCCCGCAAGACGGAAATTCAGTAGCGAAGTGGGAAAAACGATTTAAGTCGACGTATCTCCCAGTTGAGTTTTTGAGAAATAATTCCGAATCTAAGGAAGATAGCGAAATTTTCGTAATTACATTTGTTGTAGCTCTCAATCGGCTCTACAAAAAAGGTTATAACAAAAATTTTGCTATCTCCCTTAGATTCCGAGATGTTCATTGAAAACTGGTCAATAGTCAAAATTGACTTGTACCGTTTTACCACTTCGCTACTGCATTGATACTATTATGTAAAAAAAATATAATAATTGTATCTCATTTGTTGCAATGCTGACTTGTCATTCATTACATGAATTTCTCCGATTTGTGACCTATGTGCAGCCATCGAAGGATTTTTTTTTCAGTTTATGCATAAAAAAACATCTCCATCACGAGAAGATAATCAAAACTCAATGTCCACTCATTTTTCCCCGTTGATTTTTTTCCTCGAGTTCCCTGGAGACGAAATGATCCATCAGTCACCAGCAAAACTGACAAAATTGATGGAATTCATCCTCCCCACGATCACAGATACTCTTTCCCTCCCTTTTCCGAGCATTGATTTTCTATTTAATCGTTCTTTCGATGAATTTAATGCTTTGATAATCCTCCATGACTGGTGTGTATCAGATGAGTGGGCTTATCATATTAAAACACGCTCAATTGATACAAAAGTGAGTGTACAACTCGGCATATGTCCACCAGAAAGTCAAGCCCAGGGGCTTTCAAGTAGGGGATTCTTTTCTCTCGTGTTTGTGCACGCCTACCCCCCGCTGTTAGGAATTCATAAATATTTGTCAGGGTTTTGTGAACCCTTTTTGTCACCCCTGTATTTTTATTTACACTTGTTATACCCACGATAATCCCCTAGTAATTTTTTCCATTGCGAAGTTTGAGAAAAAAAAATTAAATCGCGAAGGGATAAATTGGGAATGGCAATTCGATTGAGGTGTTTCGGGTGAAAAGTCAAAATAATTGAAAAAAAATGGGAAAATTCACGGGAGAAAATTCTGAGTTTGCTGCATCATTGAGAAGTCTCAAGAAAAAAAAATTAAATTCGGATGTTTTTGTAACCCCTCCCCTCATATAACCTCCGAGGTTACCCCAATCTTAATTAGGGAAATCTCCATGGCACCCAAAGAAATAATGAACTATTGAGGAAAAACTAGTGGGTCATAAGTCAAATTTTTCTTGAGAACACGTATAAGTTTCAGATTTTTTTCAGATTTCATAAGAGAGTTATTTGAACAAATGATTCGGAAAATTATGAGTTTCGAGGCAAGTACGCCCTCACGCGCAGGCCTGTGATTCAAATGTCAGTGAGCACCATGGGAAAAATACGGGTTGGACCATGGAACTGAGAGAGAGAAAACACTCGACAGGTTTACAACTCGAGACGCATTTTAATATTATTTCAATAATTAGAAAAACATCCAATCAAAATGATTTGACATCCGTAGGTAATGAGAAAAATCAATCAATCTGATAAATAAAATCAATATTCAAAAAATGTTCAAATGCACACTTAAATAGTTAATTGAAAATTGAGAAATTTCATGCTCAGCGATTGAATCAGAGCTCGAGAACAATAAGACTCCCCTTCTGTTTCACCCCCCGGTGATCAATACACGAAACACCTTTATTTCATCTCGTTAAGTATCCAAACATCTCCATAACAAGTGGTTTTAGCAGGAAACCTCAGAAGACATTTTTCATTTAAAATTTTTTCATCTTTAGAAAAGGTCTGCTACCTTTTTATTCCTCTACAACTCGTTTACGAGATAAATAGAAAATTGGCAAACATATTTTCACTCGACAATTCACAATTCATTTCTTTGAATCAGTGATTCATCCCCTGTCTTTTATCTATAATTATTTCTTAATTATGCAGCCAATTTTCCTCTCGTCCTCAATAATAGAACGTCATTCCTGAGATTATTCTATTTGTCACCGTAACAATCTTCCCCTTATAAAAAAGTGTGAATTACCCCAGCGACGAATGTAAAAAAAATCAGCAAAGTGGACATAGTGGACGGAGCAAAACAAATGGTCTCAATCATTCTAGAAGCGGGAAAAGAGTCGGCCCACAGGGGCACCTTGAATATTTAAAATGTGATTTGTTCGTTGAAGCCGCCGAAGCGTCCGATCCGGGGAAAAAAGACGAGGAAACATGAAAAGTGGTTAAATTCTTTGCTCATGGGTTTTGTTTCCCATTTTTCCATTTCCACATTCTTTCCTCTTTTTACATGCCAATTTAACCAGGAATATTTGAATATGAGGGAGGTAGAGACACTGGGGAGTGTGAGATATCGTTGAAGGATTTTATATTCTCCCATTTTTTTGCTATTAAAAAGGGTAAATAGAAAATTTTTCATGAGGACTAGCTCTTTCAGGTATAAATGAATAGAATAAAACTTGAAATTTCTCTATTTCGTTTCAGCAACATTTTTGGTGAAAATTGATAAACTCATATATATTTGTTGAAATGAAAATGCTTCAATTTTCATTCCAAACATAGGATTATTGCATGTTAATAAAATCATTCCCCTCGTTAAGAAACCATTTGTTTATATTCAAAAAGCTATTTATTCAAAGTAAATAAAAACAGATCAAAATCGAGCTGAAGCTTGAATGGAAGCTCTGTTACAAACGATTTTAGTGAACCCAGTTATAATTCAAGTGAACTTCATTGAATTCACGGAATTTTCTCTGGGTTTTCTTTTCGGTTATAAAATGCAAAAAAATATA